TTTTTTTTGTCCTTTTTTGTGACCGGTAAGGGGATCGTAACCCTTGGCTTGGTGTCACCCGCACCGCACTCAGCTAGTGAGCGCACCGGCCATCCTTGTATAGGATCCGAACCCGTGGCGGGAGCGCCGCTGCGCTCTCAAGTGCTGCACTCTCCCGAGTGCGCCATGGGGCCAGCCCGTAGGATCCAATCTGGTTTTAATTTGCATTTATTTCCCTGTTGGCATGCAATTGTGGTTCTCAGTTGTGTCCAACATCTTCTCATATGCTTATTTGCCTTCTGAATATATTTCTCTGATGAAATTCTCAAGTATTTTACCCATTTTAAAATTGTTCGTTTTTCTATTATTGAGTTTAAGTGTTCTTCATATTTTCTGGATACAAATACTTTATCCGGTAAGTACTTTGCAAATATTTTCTTCCAGTCCGTGGCTTGTCTTTTAGTGGTCTTGACATGTCTTTCAAAGATTAGTAATTCTTTATTTTATTTTATTTTATTTTTCCTTTTTGTCTCTTTTTTTACTGACCAGTAACGGGATCGCAACCCTCAGTGTTGCGCCCATACCGGGGACTGGCAACGGGATCGCAACACTCGGTGTTGCGCCCGCACCACGCTCAGCCAGTGAGCGGGAACCGGTCTCCACATGGGATCCGAACCCTCCATGGGAGCGCCGCCACGCTCCCAAGCGGCCCACTCTCCAGTGCGCCACCAGGCCGGCCCAGTAATTCTTTATTTTAATGAAGTCCTATTTTCTTTTATAAATTGTGATATTGGTGCCATATCTGAGAAGTTCACAAATATATTCTTCTGTGTTTTTTTCTAGAAGTTTTATAGTTCTAGGTTTCACATGTTAGTCTGTGAACCATTTTGAGTTCATTTTTGTATATGATGTGAGTCACAAATTAAGGTTCTTTTTTTACAACAACAACATATGGCTATTCAGTTCTTCCAGCATCGTTTGTTGAAAAGATTATCCTTTCTTCACCTTTATACCTTAGTTAAAAATTAATCAAACATATATATGGGTCTATTTTCTGTTCTTTCTATTTTTTCATTGATTTATTTGTCCATCTTGATGCCAAACCTGGACTGTTTTGATTACTGTAGCCGTAAGTTCAGATAGTGTGTTCTCCAACATTGTTCTTCTTTTTCATAGTTGTTTTTGCTATTTGCTTTTCCATGTGCACTTTAGAATTGGCTTACCGATTTCTATCAGAAAGTCTGCTATTTTGGTTGGGATTATGTTGAATCTATAGATCAATTAAGGGAGAAATAACATCTTAATAATATTGATCCCGAATAATGTTGATTCTGAACTATGAACATAGTATATCTCTTCATTTAGGTCTTTAATATTTTTAGTCAGTGTTTAGTAGTTTTTAGTGTGTAGATTTTACACATTTTCGTCAGATTTATCCTGAGTAATATTTTCTTATACTATTGTAAGTTATGTGTATTATATATATGACCAAAAAAAAAATATATATATATATATAGTTTTTTTTTTTTGGTGGCTGGTATGGGGATCTGAACCATTGACCTTGGTGTTAAAACATTGTGCTTTAACCAACTGGCCAGCCCCTTAAATGATATTTTTTATCATAAAGTTTTTTGTTTGTCTATTGCTACTATTTATATATACAATTGATAACAAATTTTATCTCTTTATTTATTTATTTATTTTTTCCTTTTTGTCTTTTTTACTGACCGGTACCNTCTCCACATGAGATCCGAACCCTCGGCGGGAGCGCCGCCACACTCCCAAGCAGCGCACTCTCCAGTGCGCCGCCAGGCCGGCCCCAAATTTTATCTCTTTTGTTGCAATCTTGCTAAACTTACTAGTTTCGTAGATTTTTTTTTTCAGAGTCCTTATGATTTTCTATGTAGACATATTTGTCTGCAAATCTAGATAGTTTTACTTCTTTGTTATTGTTGTTGTTAGCATGTTTTAAATTTCTGTTTCTTGCCTGATTATAGAGGTGAGAATCTCCTGTACAATACTGCATAGAAGTGGTGAGAACGAACAATATTACATTTTTTCTGACTTGGAGAACAGTGGTCAGTTTTGCACCATTATTTATGGTTTTATCTGTATGTTTTTACAGATGCCCTTTGTGAGGTTGAAGAAATTACCTTTTCATATTTCACTGGGTTTTTCTTTCTTAAATTACGAAGGAATGTTGGATTTTTGTCAGATGCTTTTTCTGCATCTGTGACGATCACATTTTTAAATTTTTTTTTTTTGTCTTTTTCCGTGTCCGGCAACGGATCGCAACCCTCAGTGTTGCCCCCGTACCGGACCGGGGACCGGCAACGGGATTGCAACCCTTGGTGTTG